GGAAGGAAGGAAGGAAGGAAGGAAGGGTGGAAGGAAGGAAGGGTGGAATGAAGGAAGGGAGGAAGGAAGGAAGGGTGAAAGGAAGGAAGGGTGGAAAGAAGGAAGGAAGGAAGGAAGGAAGGGTGGTGGGGGGAGGGGAGGGCAATCCCAGCTGTATTTTTTGGCAGTACTGTATCTGGAATGAGGCATTTTTATTATGTTCCAAACATTTAGATATTGTTTGTATGACACCAGCTAACTTTAGGCTAATTATGACCAGATGCTTTTGTAATTATCTAACCATAGTTAGATATATTAGATATACATACAACTAATCCCCAAGGGGGCAGTGTCGAAGACTTCTAAGAAACCATAATGAGTCAGAATAACAGTAATGTGAAAGTCTAAGTTAATTAGTGAGTAAATAGAGGACATGTGCTCAGATCAAATGGACCGTTTAAGGGCTATGGTTCTTTTTCATGGGCCTAATGAAAAGAAAATGAATGGATCTTTTATTAACGTCGGTGCTTTAATCAGACGCATCAGCATAGAGACACAGCTGTGATGAAAAGAGCAGATGGGGAGAGAATTAAGGAAACGGCGACGACACATCAGAAGGAAAACAGATGCACCAGGCAGAGGCGTGGTGCTGAAAGGTGAACCGTTAGCATTGACGCAGACGCTCTGTTTAACCCCGCACAATAAGAAATGCAAAACGAAGAAGGGAAGCAGTGCTCTGTCATTATGTTGCCTCGGGCTGTTGACACCCACACAGAGCTGCAACTTTTAAGTGACAAGAACAAAAGAGGGTGGAGAAGGGAAAAAGAAAATGGGAGAGAAAAAAACCCGACTACAACAAATCGATGCAGGGCAGTGTGATCCCAGCGCTACAGGCAGTGATGTTCAATATGCTACGATGAGACTTGCAATCCAATTATAAGAAAATTTGTCAGCGTAATCAAAGCTGCAGTGGGACACCACACACACCTACAGTACTATTCTGTGCCACGACTGTAGAGAGAAGACAGGACAATAGAATGAGCAGAGATGAAAGACATGAAATAGACAGATTCTGAGCTTCTACTGTACGTTCTCCTCCACCTCCTTCTCTCATTTTTAGTCTTACTGGAAAGACACCGTCTTGTCTTGTTTAATCAATTTAGCTTTCTTCCTCTGTACCTGATAAAACATCCACGTCTCTGTCTCCAGTTATAGGTCTGATTTTTCAGGAGCTTCAGACTTCCAGAAATAGGCCATAAAATAAATACGTGGTCTGACAGGAGTTGGAATGAACAGAAGTCACATTTATGGGAACACAGTCTCAGTCGTTCTGTTGTCCCATCAACCACTTCATTTTTTAGAGTATGTCACATGTGTCACCATCTACAGCTGCATCATATTTTTTTTTCACTTTTCTGATTTTATATCATCTGAAGACAAATACAGTCTCCAGCTTCCAATCTGAAGTTTATGTTTTGTTTCTTTGACCTGAATTTTTCTCCAAATTATAATAACTTTTCTTTTCTTTTTTTGTTCATCTGTCAATGGCCTTCTTCCATTCAATCTTGTTAAGGCTGACGTATGAACATTCTCACCGACCTCATGTTATGGCCACATACTGTACATCCATTAAGGCTGTACTTTTGACCTTGTCGTTGCTCTTCAGACTGGTGCCTCGGCTCATGCCACCAAAAGATTTATTGTTGCAGCAGAGAGAACAACAAGAGTCGGTGTAATCCATCTGTACACCACCACAGCACTTTATCATTCCAGTGCACTGTTGTAAGTAACCTGTGTCAGAAAGTTATTTACACAGATAATTCAACGGAGGTACTATAGACTATATGGGGGAAAAAACTCCCCATTTTGTCAAATACTATGAGTTATTTATTATACTTAATACAATTTACTTATTAAAAGACAGGCTAGATATGTGGCTATAATACATACATACACACACACACACACACACACACACATATATATATATATATATATATATATATATGAAAGGTACTCTTTTATATGACTAGTATAGTAAAAATCAGCTTAGTGCAGGGTTTTCTCTCCTTCTTCAGACATTGTCATTCGTTATCAGACTCATCACCTGCCCCTGTCCTCCTGTGTCATAACCTGATGTGTTCCACCGGTGTACTGGTAACTCTCTGCTCTCTTCCATTGAAAGGATATATTTATGTTGCCTGGTTGCTGGTCTGTTCTTTGTGCACCACTCAGTCTCTGCAGTCTGTGTTTGTTCCTTGGCCTTTCTTATTCTTTTTGTTTGCTGACCATTGAATGCAAATTTTGTTCTTGGCACCAGTAGAAAGTAGAAACTCCAGTCGTGTACTTCATTGTGAAAGACGAGGGTGCCTTTTAAATAGCCGTCCTTGACAGTAACGAGGAAACAAAGGGTCTTAAATAAGCCTTAAACAGCCTCTGCTGTTTGAATAAACATGACATCAGTTATGCAGCCCCCGGTCTTTGTGAGGATTTATGCATTATATGTTTGCATTGTGCACCACATGCTGCAGGCTGTTCTAGTTGAAAGAAACACACTATCTACACGAATATCTAAAACAATTATTTAATTTTTTTGGCAGTTCTGACACCCATAGTGACAAAAAATGTTTACATTATTGTTAAATTATTTTATGTCATGGATGAAAAATATCTTCTGACTTATCTATTTTGTATATAAAATATTAATGTTGTGATTTATTATATAGTATGTAGTATAGTGTTGATTACGTTACGTCTAATTTGTACTTACTCAACTCGCTCAAACGCTTGACAGGCAAAAGCTGCTTGGTAAACAGCCCCATCTACTGGCAATTACATTTATTTTGGACGTTTGATTTTATTTTGAAAACGTTGGCGTTTTTGTTGAGTCCACGTAGTAACTTGGTGATCTAATGTTAGACGTTGACTCTTGAGAGGACGGTTAACACCATGAGGTAATGTGGTGTTTTTGTTGTTCATTTTAAAATTCTTCTTCTCTTCTTCGTTTATATATTAAACTTAATATTGTCAAGTGTATAACAAAACTGATTGTTTTAAAAGTTAGTACCTAATTTAATATGTACTAAATGTTCAGTCAGTTTAGTACTTTAGTAGAAGTATGAAAAGTGTTTAAACCAGGCGTGGGCGCACTTTTTGACTTGTGGGTCACAATTCGTAAAGGTGAAAATGCTAATTTTCTACACTATTGGAGAAAAGTGGGTATTGCAGGGAAAAGGTAGATGTGTAATGATAATATATTTAAATAATATAATTTAGGAAAGTCTGCCATAGTTTGTCCATGCCTGATTTAAACCAATAATAAATATGGACCAAAGAATGATTTAACAGGGAGAAAATGTATCCATATTCCTTCTCTGAACAATCCTCAAGCTCACAGTTTGGGAGGATTGAAGATCCATTGTTGGAAGCATCAGCTAGAATAATTCAAAATTATTCTTGGGGGGGTATGTAAGATTAACCACACAGCAGCATCTTAGATGTTTAAGAAAAAAACAAAAACAAAATATCACTATTTTAGAACACATTTCCACCCAACATCTACTACAAAATCTTCACCCACCGACCCGTCACGGATGTATGTGCCAGCAGCCCAAAGAACTATTACATCCAGACAGGTGTTGGGAAGCATGTGGGTGAGATGCAGCGTGACCCCAAAGGGTGGTATCAGCGTATTGAGAACAACAGCTGGAGGTTGTTTTACACTAGGGTGAGGAACATGTCATTTATTTTAATATTCTTTCTGCTCATTCATGTGTACTAATTATAATTATGTCATGTTAATTGTTCCCAAGAGCTCGATAATGTATTGAACATGTACTGTGTGCTACTCCCTGATGATTCCTTAACACTCCTTTCTAAACCTGTAATCATGTGCTCTGTGATAGCTGCTTCCCATCATTGAACCCAAGGAGATTGGTGCAAACATGAAAAAAGACTTTCACTACTCCAGGTTGCAGCGGCAGCAGGAGGTGGACAGGTGGAGGAAAAGGAGGAAAATTGAGTGGTTGAGGCAGATGTAAGTTGCAGTAACACTTGTATTGCATACATTATTTTACCTGTGAATTTGCCATTCTTATTTTTATGCTGCTGGAAAGCCAGGTTAGAGAAAAGACAGGGAACTGAGTTAAGGTTACTGATAATAACAGAAAAAAATATTGTCTCCAACTGTACATATTACTGTAGGTATAACCTCAGTGGTATGCATACCCAATTGTGGCATAATCCAAATGCTTTCCTGGAGGTGGTAAACACCACTGAAGAGGGGACGAATGATGAGTTGGAGGATGAAGAGCTGGAGGAGCTTCTGACATGGTCTTCAAATCTTAGCTTTGAAAAGTAAGGCCATCTTTTGTCTCTCAATTATATAGAATTCAGATGTCCAGCTTATATATAAATATTTTCTTATTTGTGTAGGTACATTGAGGATTGGAAGTGTTTGCTAGGGCCCCATGACATTCTAACATCTGACACCAACGTTGCATTTGCATCTCCACTGGTTGTTGCTGTCCACACTTTTATGGCATTTCTTACAGTTGGCTGCAGTGGGAGGCTCAACCTTGACCTATTAAACCTGAGGCATGAGGCATTGTTAAATCATAACAACATACATGTGATTTTTTGTTATTGTTAACAGTTTTAAATATTTAGCTAGCACCACCTGCAGGTCAGGGAGGGGTAGCTTTGTGTAGCACTTTGCTGCTTAGCACACAATGGAGGGTTCTCTGGAGGGATGTGGAGTGTTAGTTTTCCATAGTTCCTAGCAAGTAGAGGTGTTCTGGAACAACAGGGAGTCGTCTGGAGAGTGGGTGTGAAGAGAATTTGGGAGAAATTCTCTTTAAATGTATGGGACTGAGAGGCTGCTTGCCAGAAGGCCTTTGACTTGTATATGTGCTTGAGGAGTTTCCTGCTTCCAGACTCATACCAATATGAAAACCACTGAAATCTAACAATAGGAAGCACTGTGGGTCAAAGTCATTGTCTTTGTCTGTTCTCTCATAACATTAGGACCAAAGCAACAGCTAAATCAGGAAAAGATGGTCTCTACCTTTTTAAAAAAAATACAAATAACACTACGCTTACATCACAACTCCATGTGTCAGCAACATTTGTTAACATTCTTTCTAACCTACTCATTGCTAGTTTGCTGACCAGAAATGGCACATATCCAGCAAAAAAAATAATGTGTCGCCCCCTATAATTAAGATCAGGAAATGTATCTGAGATTCTGTTAGTTTCTATTAATCTAAATAGAATATTCAAATATTAAATGTAATGGTTGACCATATTCAAGTTGTTACATAGTCTACCAAACGTCACTCCTACAGTCACAGTTAGGGTCATAAAACTTGTAAAGTAGTTATGAAACATGTCATTAGTCCGAATTGAGTTCGGACTAATGACATGTTTCATAACTACTTTTCTTTTGGTAAAGGAGTTGGACATAATGTCTTAAGTTTTTGCAGAATAACTGGAAAAGGCTGAGGTAGAAAAAACAGAGACCCAAGATAAGTACAGGTCTTGACTTTTACTTTTTTTGGATGACCTTTTTTTTCAAGGAACGACTTGCTCCTACGTACATGATAACAGCTGCGCTGCATATACAGTCATGTAGAGCTGTTAGAGTCACTTTAAAATTATTCTCACATCTAACGATTGATATCACTGGAAGGAAAAAAACAAAGTGCCTGAAGAGAGGACTCTTCAGTTTTATCGTAAAGTTACTAAGTAACCAAAGGTGGAAGGAAAATAAACCAGCACTAAATATAACTTTTTTTTTTCAATAAGGTAAAAGTAACAGAATATCAAAGTGCAGAACTATTGACTGAACCTGCATCTGAAAAGATAAGGTGTAATCTGCCCTCCTGGCAGGAGGTTTCTCTGAATCTATCTATATGAGAGCTTATTGGAATCTTGTGGGACGGCAGGGAGATAAGATAATGGGTCATTTGTCAGGAGCTTAAAAGGATGTGGTGTGAGCTCCCGAGGTAGAGCAGTGTTTCTCCGACAGCTGCAAGTGTTGGTTGTTAATCCATCAGTCAGTTATGGCCACAGACTTCTCCAAGAACGCAGAGGAGAGGCCGGAGCCTCAAAAGGCAGAAATCAAAGGTAAGTCTGGGGAACAGACCTGCAGATTCACCCGCTCACATCAAACTTGTGAATGCATTCTGTTCAAACTGTTAATATTTATTTTAAAGGGAACATTCCCAGTTGGTTGCAAGGCACGCTGCTGCGCAATGGCCCTGGCATCTTCACTGTGGGTGAGACCAGCTACCAGCACTGGTTTGACGGCATGGCCATAATACACAGCTTCGCCTTCAAAGATGGTTTGTGGCAGAAATTCTGAAAAATTGTTGACACATTTTTTTTGTCGTCTGTCTCAGTTTGCCGTTTGATGCCCCTTTGTTCGTTGCAGGTGAAATGACCCACAGGAGCCGATTTCTCAGAAGTGACACTTACAAAGAAAATATGGCCGCAAACAGGATTGTTGTGTCTGAAATGGGAACTATGGCTTATCCAGACCCGAGCAAGAACTTCATTTTTAAGTAAGTAAAGCTTCAGATTATTACTTAATCTATCCATATTGATTAGGGTTCTTGAGTAGCAGAATAGTTTAATTTTATTTAAATACTAAAAAAGTGCATACTGTTTAAATATATAAATATTTTTTTGTTTTGTTTTTGTAAATTTGTATTTTTATACTTTTCCTGGTAACTTATTTCGTGCCACAGAATTTACAAACACTGATGACATGGACTTGTCTCTGTCGGCTCTTTTCTTATTATTGCTGAACGTTCAACGGTCAACTCTTTATGGACATGCTATCTCACTTTATCTAAATTGTTTGATATTCTGTAGATAGCACAGCCTGTTTATTTCAAAAAATGGCATGTAATCACTAAACGTGCAAGTGCTGTGTTCTGTTTACTACAAAAATATAACCTCACAAATAAACAAAACATATATGGACGAGTGCTAATCTGAACTGATTTGCTGTGGTTTTAAACTGTACTAAGGTCATTTTGAAGGAACTACATATGATTTCTGTTGTGCATTTGTCGCTCAAATACAAATAACACTTGAAACTCTGGCTTTTACCTTTCCTGACGGCTAACTTGCTGCTTTTCAGAGCCATCACTTTCCTCCACCACACAGTGCCAGACTTCACCGACAATGGTGCCAGTAATATCATTAAGTACGGAAACGACTACTACGCCACCTCGGAAACTAACTACATATGCAAAATTGACCCCGTGACCCTGGAGACCCAGGATAAGGTAAAGTTCTACTGCAGATCCAGGACACTTTTACACGTGGAGAGTGCAGTGTGAGGTTTGTATTTTGGAGCTCACATACTTGTGTTTGGCAGGTGGACTACATGAAGTACCTGCCCGTAAACTTGGCCACATCCCATCCTCATTACGACCGGGAGGGCAACGCATACAACATTGGAACTTCAATAGCAGAGAAGGGCAAAACCAAATACACTTTGTTCAAAGTCCCAGCAGCTTCAGCAAATGGTAAATCAACACATATATGAACATATAAACGCATATATATATTTACACATCTAACTAATACTGAACTTTATTGGATAGATAGATAAATAGATAGATAGATAGATAGATAGATAGATAGATAGATAGATAGATAGATAAAGCCAGTTATGCCTTTTCTGTCTTAGGAAAAAAACGGGGTGAAGGAGGCTTATCATTGGCTGTTTATTGAAATATTTCTGCTCACAGATGAAGATGGAAAGCCCACCCTCAAGAACGTCGAGGTGGTCTGCACCATCCCCTGCCGCTCGCTGCTGATGCCGAGCTACTACCACAGCTTTGGAATGACGGACAACTACATTATTTTCGTCGAGCAGCCGTTTAAATTGGACATCCTCAGAATGGCCACTGCATACATGAGGGGCGTCAGCTGGGCCAGCTGTCTGAAGTTCTGCCCCGAGGAAAAAGTACGTCATCACGTTTGTCAATGTGTTGGTGTTGCCACATGTTGGTATGAAACTGAATTTGAATGTTAGTTTGTATTAAACTGGTGCAATCTTTTTCCCCTCTCTTTCACCAGACCATCATTCACTTGATTGACAAAAAAACCCGAAAAGAAGTGGAGACAAAGTACCTAACGGGGACAATGGTCGTCTACCATCACGTGAATGCGTACGAGGAGGATGGTCACGTGGTCTTTGACATAATCGCCTACGATAACACCAGCCTTTACGAAATGTTCTACATAAGCAGACTGAAGGAACACGGCAACACCTACGATGAAAACTACTGCAAACCGACCTACAGGAGATTCGTTCTGCCCACCTCCTCTGACAAGGTGGGCTGGGAATAAAGATCAGATTGGTTGTGTTTTTTTCTTCCTCAGGTGAAATATAATCTGAGATGGTGTTTTGCAGGGGGCGGCAGTCGGCGAGAATTTGGTGAAACTCACGAACACAACAGCCACGGCAGTGAAGGAGAAAGAAGGCAAACTCTGGTGCCAGCATGAAGTGCTGTGTGAAGGTAAAGGAAGTACTGACATCACTCAAACTGGAAGTTTGGATTATTTTGGTGGAAACAGTAAATTTATATACATGTTTATATATATTTTTTTAATATTCAGGTTTTGAATTACCCAGAATCAACTATGACTCTAATGGCAAGAAAGTCAAGTATGTCTATGGGAACTGTGTGGTGCAGTCGGCGCTGGCAGACAAGGTAATGACTGGTACTGTTTACTGTTTTACCTGAGCTGCTGCAGAACAAACGATTCAGTTCTTGGGTAACTCTGGAAGGTCACTGGGAAACATGGAATTCTTATTAACGGACAAAGAAAAGTCAGATAACGCTTGTTGGAGGCTCGGCGTGTTAATCCGTTATTGGAAGATTATTGTGCAACTTGGAATTTTTAGTATCAGACAATAAACATCAGCTGACGCTTGTTCATGGGTCAGTTCATTGACTAGAGGAAGACAGAGATATTCCATATTGAAGCCTATGTAACATGAACATTGACCTTTGATTGAACTGTTATGTTGAGGAGAGGTCATCGTCGTCTGACAAACCCATGGCCTATATTTAAATTTTATAATCCTCTTCCAGTCATGTGTTGTCGTATACGTCGCCTGCACTCAGCTTATCTAACAGATAAATATCATTTATTTTTCACAGCAGGTCATGACGTTTGAAGTCTTGCACACAAGTCTGTCGTTATTATTACTTCAAGTATTGTGTAGTAGTATTAACCTGTTTATGAACTGATAAATAGTGAAGGTAAATATAATAAACATGAATTTGACAACAGATTCCAGATACCGTATTTTCCGGACTACAAGTCGCACTTTTTTTCATCCTTTGGCAGGGTTTGCGACTTTTATATTAAAATATATACACAAATTTCACGTTTGTTATTTTCACACTGACAGTCACCAGAGGGCACTGGTGTGACTTATACTCCTGAGCGATTTATATATCTTTTTTTTTCTTCATAATGCATTTTTTGGCTGATGCGACTTATAGTCCAGAAAATACGATAGATGGTTTGTCCACTTTCTAAATCACGATATCTTAAAGTTGACCCATGGGGCTCAAAATGTTTTTTGCTCCTAATTCACTTAGATTGGAAAGTTTGACACAGAAACTAAGAAGATGATTTACTGGAAGGAAGACAACTGCTGGCCGTCAGAGCCCATCTTCGTCCCCCGACCAAACGGAGAGTCAGAGGACGACGGTGAGAACCGCACCACTTACAATCCTATAAGGAAAACGAAAATGACAAACTTTTGTTTTTAACAACTTGCTGATTGACTGTGTTCACAGGCGTGGTTTTGGCCGCGGTGATTAACTCTAATCCTGACCAGGCCGATTTCCTCCTTGTTCTTGAGGGAAGAACCTTCACAGAATTGGCTCGGGCAAACGTGAACGCCAAGCTCCAAAAAGACGTGCACGGATATTTCATCCCACAATGAAAGTGAGAGAGTATGTGAGCATACATATAAACTGTACAAATATACTGTATGCCTAAAATTTAATGAGGATCCAGTCTTGCCAGCACTATAGACTGCACATATCAGGTCTGTTAATTCAGTGTGGACCAAGTCTGTGTATATAACTTATGTTATTTTTTCTTTTTTGTACTGTTATAACTTTATTTGGTCTTTGAAAAAAAATGAACCAACAGTCCCCAGGGCTGTCGTGAAAGGTTCAAAGTCCCATTGTTTATATGATAAATAAAAGAGTTCGTCCTAAGGACGTGACACGAAGGTGTTTGTTTATCTGATGATAATTTATGACGGAGCTTTAGAATCACAGAATCACATCACAGTAGAATGTCGCATTAACACGGCACCTAGGCAGGAGATTAAATGCTAAATAACTTCAGTTCGGCTTCGGTTGTAAAAGTATAAAACAGTTTTAGATGTATTACATCTATTGTTGTGTACAAAGTCTTTGACCATCAAAAAATGCATTATTAAGAGTCGTTTGGCCAAGAACTTCTAGTATCTAGCACAGAATCTGCGAAATGCACTGCACTCGTTTTTCAATTAACTCAAGCCAAAATCAAACTAATAATCTATATTCCGTTGGAGAAAACGAAGGGTAATTTAGAATTGCTGTACTTTCTATGACCACAAGAGGGCGACAAAGATCTCACTCACGCAGCCTGTATTGTAGGGCACCACTTATTAGGTTTAAAAATATTTCGATTTTTTTTAATCAACATTTTTCTTTACAATTGCTTAAAATAACAAACTTCAACACCGAGAAATTATAGGCACTACACAACTACTGTACATTACTGGCAGCAAAAAGGTTAAACTCGTTGATGACAATACAAAAAATACAACAAACACGACTATAACACACTGGTAAGCACATCGTAAAAATCCAGCAACCCCATTTTAAAGTCTAGTCACTTCGTTTTCTTAAATAAATAAGCATATTTACAAATTCTAAATCGTATTCCAACTCAAAATTAAACCGATGCTCAGTTGTATCTAACAACAAATACAGCAAACATGTTAGGGTAAAACATATTCAGTGCATACTGAATTATTTTATCAAACAAAGGCAGTGTACCGTAGCTACCATTACAGTGATGGGAGGGTTGCTTCAAGTCTGTGTGGAATCAGTTAACACATAAACAAAAATAAAAAATGCTTAAAATTACTTCAAGAAATTGTAGTGATTCCCCTGTACATTTGAAACAGTAATCAGTCAACACAACAGTAATAAGTCAACAGTAATCAGAGCCAAACCCACAGTAAAAGATGGGCAAATACACAAAGTACAGATCCATAATCATAATTGGTATTATTATAAAACACATAAGTGTACTTCAGTGCAATCAGTATTGCAGTTTATCTAATCTCATGGAGCAAATATGTAGGATAATCTGACGAATTGACAAGACTGATTGCCAGATTTTGTTTACGCAGGATGTGATTTTTTTTTTAATATAACGTTATTGATAGAAAGCATCAACTGATGAAGAGCCTTTTGGGTGCACGGCTCTTTTCGTAAAACCTTTTTTTTTTGTGAATTGTAAATACGTTTTAAGACAAACTTTGGCAACTTTTTTTTTATTTTACTACTAATATATCCCAGTAGTGTGCTAATAAAAAACTGACACATCCATCACTGGCTCTCACAGCATCCCACCACAGAACACAACAGAACTGTTCCTTAATTTAGTAACTAACTCTTTACTTTTCATTCAGTCGTGTATGTAAATCAACATGTTCCCAAAAACTTAGCAATAGCAATATTCGTTGGTCGTATGGCATTTGTTCATCATGCATCTGGTCCAATCCCAGATTAGGAATCCTCAAGGAAAGGCACCAAGGAAAGGAGGCTTTTAAGGAAATGGGAACACACAAGTGCAGAGTGGCCGGGGATGTTGGCAGCAGAGAATTCTACGGTGTTTTTGAAATCAGAAAATGCAGTGGGCCGCTCAAGGGCCTGGGACGCAGCCCATATGTGTCCACTGCTTCTCTCCATTCCGTTGCCTTAAGATGTAGAGTCTTCTTTAGCTGGAGATTCCTGGCTCTGCTCAGCATCTTCTCCTTTTTCACCTGGACAGACAGGCAGAGGGGGAGATATCTTAATGCATGATTTAATAGTTGTGAAGTCAGCGGTGCACACGCGGTAGGCTGAATCAGCAGGTTCAGGTTGATGAGGTGGAATGAGCAATGACCAGTAAGGAAGGCACAGTCATGGAGAAAAGAGAGTGAGTCATGGGTCAACTCTAGGATGTGTTCAGGAAATATTGTAGTTTAAATCATCTGGTTTTCACCATCTAACCTCCGGTGTGCAAATTGACAGATTTAACTATGCTTTTATTTATTTTTTTCAAAATACTCACCTGATTAGGAGCGGTGATGCTGATTCTTACCTGATTGGTTGATGTTGAGCTTTGCCACACCCTCTGACAGGTCACTGGGTCCTTGAGCTCCAGGGGCTGCTGGGATATCATGGATGGCGTTTCTTCGGCCGGACCGTCGAGAGGCAATAAAATCCTCATAGGTCGCCTCGACATCCGTCATAGCTGAGCCACCTCACCATAGCAGGAAATGACACACACAGTAGCACAGACCTAAACACACACACACAAAAACACCAGCACAGATGAAAAGTGTGTCACATCTTTCTGTCCTCGGAAACCCCTGTGCTGCCGCCCCTCCTCACCCCTGTTCCTTCCCTGTCATTCTCAACATTCACTTACTTAACACACTAATCCCTGATTAGACTATTTTTATCTCCATCTGGATTAATTGCAACGCTAGTGACATGTTTAGTTTAAAACAACGCTGATATACTGGCAGGAATTGAAGAAAGTCACTCACAAAGAGCTTCTTCAACTGCTCTGATTATGTTTTTTTAGTTTTCATAACCATCTGCTGCCACCTAGAGGAAGAGGACTTAATTGCTCTGCGTGTCACGCATTGACAAAAAAATATTTGCAATAAATAAATAATAGTTATCGGACCAATTAATTTAAGTTTGATAATTTTCCACAGCACATCTAATGATCTTTTACGGCACACTAGTGTGCCACGGCACAGAGGTTGGGAATCACTGGTGTACAATACAGCAGCTGCCCCAAAAGCACTCGCAAAGGGATAATCATGGTACAAGGGAGGGTGGCGCTGAAGTCTCACACATCAGCCCACGTGGACAAGGGCATGAAGTGGGACGTGAGCCTTGTTGCTATAAAGACGTGGACATTCCTCCACGCAAGTCTGACTGACTTTAGAGTCTTTTGCACAGGCGCGTTCATCTGAAACCGTTGGCTGTTTCCAGAGTCGTGCTGGCTACGACACCAGATGGCTATTTTCAGAACCCGACTCTGTCATCCTCTTAACGCGTTCCCACTCAGTTGTCATTCCCCAAAGTGTGTAAATGTGTGTTAGCCAGGCTCAACAAAAGCTGTTCATGTGCACATGGCAGAAACAACATGGAAACTCATTGAAATTATGATAAAATTCACTGTAATATTCTGACTCTTCTGTGTTCATGCCAGGCCAACTAGACGTGCTGTGGTAGTAATTCTCCCATCACTGTGTGGTGTGAATATTTAGGAAGAATTCAACCAGAGAAAAACAAAATACTCATTATTCTATTAAAGACAAAGAATAGGATAAATATAGGTGGTTAGGTCTTGTTTGCAGTTAAATTGACAGAACATTTATAGTCTTTGAGCACTGAGTTCATTGAATAAAATATTTAATGAGTGTTTACATTTAGTCCCAATGTTGCACCATGGAACACTGACAGCACGTATGTCATCACAATGTTTAACCATGTGACTTAATAATTCAACAGGCTGTTCTCTATGTCCCTGTTCTTACTGATTTGTAAAAGATGGAAATCTATTCTACTAAACAGAGACCACTGAGTTCAGAGTTTCAAATTAATTTGCAAGAATGTGGAAGCCCCCTCCCCCCGCAATAACACCCCCTAGAAGGACCGGACCTCCACTTCGAGAACCACTGGGTTATGCAATCTTATGGCCATGGTGAAATAAAATAAAAAATATATTTTTTAATAACAGACAATGTTAGGGTACTACTTGCACGTCAATTACTGTGTCATGTATTCATGTAGCACGCAGAGACGAGAATGTGAAGATTAAGCCTTTGTTTAAGGACGTATTGTCGTTTTGCTGGGACACAGTATAATAAGGCCCTTAATGAAATCAATAGTGAAGCTCTTCTAAAGACAACAGGGGAACCATGCAGGTCAGAAATCGCAGCCTGCGCCTGTATTAGGCTTCTATTATGATGCAAAGCATGCACACACACACAAATAGACGCACACACCCCCTGCAGACATCATCACCGTCAACACCATCAGTATTTTCACCACCATCGTCAACATCCGCAGCAGCAACATTAGTGTGGTACCTGTTCAGAATAGGAGGGCTTTCGAATAATGGCAGGGATCAATCACAGCAGCCTGTAAACCACCACTCCTCCCGTACTACCCATTGTGTTACAGAACCAGCTTTTACTAAGGCTAGGTCGCAGACAGAACAAACACTTCCTGATAGAATTTCAAAATAAAAGTCATGTTTATCTACAAGTTACTATATAATACAATGTATATAAAAAATAATAATAACACAATATATAATATTTATAGTAAAGTTAACATTATACGATTATATTATATTGTTAAATATTATAATATGGTCATGTAGACAGGTGAGATTGTGGGTATCCTGTATGATATATTGGGATTTTTTATTTAGATAAGGAGTAAAATGTATAAATAAAAATATTATTTTTATTATTGGTTCTGCAAAAAAGCAAAGTAGCTGTAATGTGCAGAAACTTGGAAAAGCAATAAGAAAGCAACAATACATTAACATTTTTATTAAAATTTAAACATTTATATAACAATCATATATGGTTTCATAATGACTAGCATTATATTTTCAAAACATAATTAATAATTGGTATAATTGCACTGTGGACTAGTACCATTGCAGTTAATTTTATGGTAGATTTGCTTTGTGATTGAGCATTTGTTTTTGTCTGTTTTTAGAAATCATCAGCAATCCTTGTCTACATGAAGATATCCAAATACTCCTTCAGATAGAAGAAACAGCCCAATTTGCAATAAAAGCTAAAAGGTCAGACTGACAGCACAAGACAGAGCAGCTACTGTGGTATGTGAGAAATAACAGTGGTTCCTTTGAGATGAATGCACAGAGCACATTCACTATGAATGTGGCCTCATAGCAGATGGGTGTGAATGGTTCCATTCAGTTAACACATGCCTTCAATATGCTGAACTGGGAAGTAATGAGTGTTCTTTGGGCCAACATATGACGACCCAAGCAGTACTATTGAAAAGACACTTAAAAAGCAATGAAAATAACGATTTCTGTGAATTCCATCATTATGAAATAAGATTATCAGTGCAATTGTGAAGAATGTTTGAGTTATTTTTTCTGCTCCTAATGTATGTATTACACTGAAAATATAAAAAAGCTTTAATGCCATATTTGGGATCGTGAGAACAACTGAGTTGCCTCCTAGGCTCCATCTGTTGGCCAATATGTCCATTGCATTAAGGAGAACCCTGCAGTGCAACCAATCACATATTGTAATGTTGGGACATGAAGCGGCGTTTGACAGAGCAGTTGCTATTGGTTGCCAAACATCAGTAAAGTCAAGATAGTTCCCTGCCAAGTCTTGTCACCACAAATTCAGCCAAACTATGTCTTAGTGTCGCGTCAGAGTTGCGTGAAAACAGGTACATACTCAAAATGAACACATGGAGTTTGTTTTACCTACTTATTTAATTACAGAAACGACATCGTTTCCCTGCATTTATATGAAACGTAAGCTATGTTTAAGCAAAACCGGAAGTATATAGATGAATATCATCCTGCCTTTTCTTGCCACTGAGTGACCACAGCAGCATCAGAAAGAAAAGGGGTAACTTGATGATGGATGATGTAGAAGGTAAAATAAAGCGCTTTGTTTGTGTATTTAATTTATTTTGGGGTAAAATCGAATCTTAGTGGTCCATTTCGTTAACTCCTTTGATTGGTTAGTGCTCTTGCCTTCCAGTTTTAGTGGCAACCTTTGTTTTGGATGCAGCTTTAGCGCTTGTTATGCTAAGCACCGCCTGGGCCAAACATAGATAAACGCAGCTGATGGCTGTCTGTCTGTCTCTATGGGCGTGATTCCTTTAACCTCTGCAGCTGACCTGTGTTAGCATCAGGCTAACAAATGGATATTAAAATGAATGGGATCATACATTTGACGAGTGTTTGTTTTCTTAAACAATAACCACACCTTAACGTGAGGTAATGGATATACTAAGTAACCCACATTGACGTCAATAGCATAAAACATATCTTTTATACTAGGTTAGTTTCATGAAGAAGACAAATGGATTGCCCTCACCTTTAAATTTGCCATTTCCCCTTAATTTCCTTCTTCACCGATTTTACCAGAATGTTACATGTTTGTTTGTTTTTGTTTTTTACCTAACCTTTTCATTTCATAGATGGAGAAGCTCCTCAGGAGCCACTGGTTCAATGCAATACCTGCAAAAGATCTTTCTTCCCAAAAGTCCTGGTAAGTAAATGTCATATCAACAGCTACATCTTTTACAAGGAAAGCCATTATTGTGAACAACCAAGAAACACTTTGTGGTAAAATGCTTGCAGTAAAGTTCAACTTAATAATGGAAACTGACCTCCTGTAGTGTCAAAATGTAATGTTTCATTTTCTGGAACAGATAAATTAATTTGTTATGTTATTATTGCTGATAATTTTAATGAAATTGACAATGTAGTATTAGACATTTTCTGAGTAAACTCAAAAAGAACATACTCAAAAAGATATGTCATATATGTTTCAGTAATATCTAGTTTTTTCTCCACCTGACAGGCGAAACACACAAAAATCTGTCAGAAGACAACAACCAAAAAGAGGAAGGTTTTTGACTCCAGCAGACAGAGAGCTGAAGGCACAGACATCCCTGTACTCAAACCCATCAAACCAAAGGTAAAACTATACTCGGGGATAGAAGAGGAAACCCAACACAGAACCAAGAACAAGACTTTTACATTTTTAATTAGAGGCAGAGAAACTGACTAAAGATGCACACACAAACTAATGCTTATCCAGTTAAGCTTATCCATTAAATGATTTTATGATTTAATCATTTTTTGAATTCATGTAAGACCTACATTTCATTCTATGTTTTATCCAGCACCGATCTATAATTTCACAGCACTTTGGCAGCTGATACATGTGGACTGGATATTTCCACCATCACACTTGGGGCTGTTTTGCATTTGTTGATTATTTTCAAATGTAAAACTACTTTTAATTGTATTTCAGTCACAAAGTTCATCTGCTACTGCGAAAGTAAGTTGTCTTCTTTTACTAGTACCTTTACATCTTATGTATAGAAACACATTAACGAACACCTACAGTTTCCGAGTCTTTTACTCACTATTTCCGCCATGAAAAGAAGTGGATTTTATTTTTTCTATTCAACACAGGCTGGAACTAATGCAGGTGCTATTTTAAAAGATAAAAAGATCAAAAACTCGCAATAGTCAAATGCATTTTTTTTTTCTTGTCTGGCTTCTCTCCTATTTTAATTTTTAAATCTGTTGATTCACATTCCTTTGGTGACTCAGCCTCTTCATGGCGCAGCCTCAACTGAAGACTGTTTGGCTTCCTTGCACAATCCACTTCCTACTGAATGATTTTATTCATGGCAGCAAAAACTATTGGACTCTGATGTGTTTGTTCCCAGATTACAGTTGGTCGTCTGCCACTTGCTAATATATGATCTAACAAAAATGTGTTTTCTTGTATTTCTTCACCCTAATGCTGCACATTCACCCTTATGTAAACGCAGACTAATCTCTGTATTCATTCTAATGTACTATACACCTGCTGTATTTAAGTAATGAAGTCCTAATAATTGTATTAGTATTATTGACAATGAAATCATATGCATGTGAAATAACGAGTATTAAATAACGAGTATTAAATGAGAAACAATAATGTAGATAAGAATGTAAAATTCATTAAATGTGTGGCAACAAAACCATCGACTAAATTACAACTGATACGTTAGAAAAAGGAACTTCTAATATTTATGTCTGGTGAATTGAGGTTCAAGAAGGTTTGTGTTATTAAATTAACATATATTCATTTTACTTTAACATAGACACCGTAGAGAAATTATTTGTTTCACAGCAGAATAGAAAAGGAGCAACTGAATTTAATTAACAATGACAGGAGTGGAAAGAGTATGGAATATGGCATTAACATTGGGCCAAAAGTTTTATTTCAGTAACATTTAGTCCTGGTGGTCCTGCAACATGTAATAGCACATCAGAACCGGACTGTGAGTTGGTTGTTTGTTCGTCTGTATTTCTTCCTGTCAGGCTGAACCTCCCAAGAAGCCTTCCAACTGGCGCAAGAAACATGAGGACTTTATCGCCACCATCAGAGCTGCCAAGGGACTCACTCAGGTCATGAAGGATGGTGGACCGTTACCTCCACCTCCTCCTCCAACATATGACCCAGGTAACACACAGCCCCACCTAGTACGAAATAAAAAAAAATGAAATTTAATGATTGAATTTTGTGATAGAAATAATTTAAACATTTAAACTTTATCAAGTAGTGTCTGTACTAAATGTAACGTGTTGTATCCGGTCAGACTATGTCCAGTGCCCTCACTGTCAGCGGAGGTTCAACGAGAGTGCAGCTGAGAGACACATCAAGTTCTGTCAGGAGCAGCATGCACGGATGCCCAACAAGGGCAAGTTAGGAGAGACCAAGAAGCCCGCTGCCCGCACACAGGTACACACGAACAGTGTTTTCACCGAGCCACACTGTAACATGAGGTTTATTGTGTTCTTTCTCTACAAATGCATTATTTGCAGTTCAAGCCTACTGCCCCGGTGACCAAGAAGGCAAACACTCCTGCTGTGGTGTCAACCATTCCCTCAACCATTCCCTCAGCCTCCTCTCGTTTACCACAGCGACCAGGGCAGTCCACTGGTGAGAGGGGCCAGTGGTGGCCCACAACAGTTTCTTTAATGCTGTTCAAAGTTGATTAAACTGACTTTAGTGAGGTTGTCATGCACTACTGAGCTGCCCACCTCTCTAGCCACAGGAATCCCCTCTGGCAAGGCCTTCTCTGCAGGTTCAGTGAGGAGTAATCCTTCTGGGCTCACAAGTCCTCCATCAGGGTCAGTGACACACACACTCACAACAACACACACACTTTTTGCCGACTTAAATATTATTATTTATCCTAATATTTACTGTCGGTCACTGTGTTTTATTTTTTCCACTCCTTGTCTACGGGTCTTTATGAGCTGAGGATTTGAAGGAAAATTATTTTCTTGTGACTGGATTGCATATAAAACATCTGTTACTTCTTTGTGTTCTTTGGTTTCAAATATCTGTGTAGAGTGGCACAGAAGACCAGGGTAACGAGCTCTGGCTACAGCTCTGTGAAAAACACACAATCTGGAATAGGACTGAACAAGAAGAGAGTAGACGCCCACATACCCAGGTGGGCTGAGACTTTTGTTTTCCAGAAATAACGAATGGAACTTTGTTATCTCTTGTGGTCTGATGATGTGTTGCAGGACCTCATAATTTATGTGGCCTTGATGTTTCTTGTTCATTGATGACAAAGCATTGAAAAGTCATAGTTTATACAGAATTCCTGTGCTGTCACACCTCGTTTAGAAAGTTCACATGAATTCACTAAGAATCTGAGACCAAAAGGATATCACCAGCCAAAAAATGAGAATTAACCAACACAAACATGGGATGTGCATCAACATAACAAGGCTTTACACTTTTGAACTGGAGAAGAAGGTTGATTTTTATTTACATTCACAGTAAGAACTAAGTTGAGGGGTTTGAGCTGAACCTAAGGGAGTATCTTGGCTGCGGACTGTGTAACAAAAACCTTCCTTGAACTTTTAAGGTCGTATGTTCGCTGTGAGTTGTTTCAGAGAATTTAAAACCTCATCCACACATAGAACGCAGCCATAACACTTGGTGATACAATTTCACTTTCTCAGGAACGATGGCATTGATGGGAATGGCATCAACAATGGCGGAATGAAGAGCAAGTTCTGTCATGCGTGTGGGACCAAGTATCCTGTCGAGTCTGCCAAATTCTGCTGTGAGTGTGGAGTCAGGCGACTCTGCATCTGAAAGCTGTCGGGAGGAAATGCAGGCGGAAGAGGTAGTGGAGAAAAGTAGGGACTCAGCTGTTCTTAAGGTCTCCTCTAGGGATTTCACTAAACATGATAAGAGTTGTATTTCATCCTTTATTCATTCCCCGCGTTCCCACACAACTGAAGAAAAGCAGTGTTTTCTTTGCCAATCACTACCGGGTCGAGATAAAGTGACTCCAAAACATTTGGAACTCGTCCATACAGCAGTGTAACACTTTTTTCACACGACCTTGCTGATTAGACCTAAATTTGCCCTTTCCATCGAGACGAAGATAATGACCTGTTGGATACAACTTTTAAATGGACACCCGTGAAGATATCAGCAGCTGGTTTGACTAAAGAACACCTCCTTCTTTGCTCATCACTTTACTTATGATTAGAAATATCGGTACCTTGTAGTGTTGAGTCAATGGCTGTAATTTTAACACTAAAGTATGGGAAATCCTCAGTATGCAGTATACAAACTAGAAGAAGGAATAGTGGAAAGAGAAGAACTAAAGACAGACAGCTGGAAAGTGAAGCATACAGATTTAATTTTTTTTTACATTCACATTATGGTTTACTATTAAAGTGCAATATGGTTAACTACTGAAGAGAAAATGAATGAATTTCTCATTTTAGTTCATAGTAGGTCAAAGTTCACTCCCAACTCCTTTATTTACAAATTGTTTCCAGGTGTTTCCCAAACTATGGACCACAGCCCACTGGTGAACACATCAGATTCTCTGTCTTCACTATTCACAGAAACACAATATATATTCTTTGCTCTAAAATCTTTAAAATCTTTAATTTGGCCTAATGTTGCAGAGGTCGTACTTTGGACGGAAATCAGTACAATGTTGGACGTTGAAAGTTATGCAAGACATTGAGGGTCTGAACCCTGTGACGATGGGTAATCTTTGTTCTAGTGAAATGTAGCCTTTAATCCTATTTTCTACTTGTTCTCATACATTTATACATTTTAATCATTTATTTATTTGATAAAATAAGTCTGTTTAATTTTCACCAGATGACTGCATCTTTTGTCAATATTTGATTTAATGTGACATATCATTTTTTTTAATAATATTTCTCCAGCGTGTATATTGAATGCATTAAGGTCTGAACTGTTAAAGAAAGCAGAAATGGTCTCTACTGATGGTGTTGTGGATAATGAATGACACAAATGAACCCTTGTACAGTAATCTGTATGCTTTTTCAATTGATATCATGTTACAATAACAAGCTGGACAGTAGTCGTTCCCTGCACTGAATCAGACCCGTTCAGCTGTTCTTAATGCAAACATATATTCAACTTCAATAAACTTCCACAAAAATACTAACACTAACACTAATACTAACACTCCTGTGTATCTATTACTATACAAAAGAAAGCAGTGGAGGTAAAATGAAACCAATTTTCTAAACTAGTACAAATGAACACAAGAGCCAGTATATTTGTTATAAATTAATATATTTTGTAATATTCATGCATGGTTTATTTTTAATATCAATATAATGAGAATAACAGAAATTAGCCATATGCATATCCATCACTTTAAGGAACTGAAGCTGTGTTTTAAACGATGCTGGTTTATACTAACATGTGTCTTCTACTCCAGGGGTGTCAAACTCATTTTCACCGGGATCCACGTCAGCAGTACATTTCACCTTGAAGGGCTCGTTGTAAATGGAAGACTCTATAGATCAGGAGTCCCCAATCATTGGTCCGCGGACCAGTACCAGTCCATAGGTAATTTGGTATCAGGCCGTAGTCGGACACATGGAAAAAATGTGCTTAATTTTTACTAATTTACTTCATTCAAAGAAAATCCACCATATCCATTTACTTTCTTTATTTAAAGATAATCTGGCAATATTTTAAAATAAGAGTCATTCAGACTCTGATAGAACAGAGTCTAAAAGATGTTTTATTTTAAAAATCAAATGATCCTTCAATGCTCAGCACCTTGCTACCTGGTGGTACTGGCTGACCAGTCCTCGGAACAATAAAAAACTGCGGCTTGGCGGGCCGCATTTGTCCCCCAGCACTTGAGTTTGACACATATGTTCTACTCCGTTCAGCACGGTTCAGAAATTATTACCAGTGGTAGTGTAAAAACTATGTTGAAATATGATATTCGACACAACGAACGAACAATCAAACAATCAATTAAAAAGTTAATCTTTCAACAAGTACACAGTTTAAAATAAAAAAATACAATTATTATAAAAAGATATTTGAATTTTATGAAGAATGTATGTCCCTGCGGACAGTCCTTCTAAACATCTAAACATTTATTTTCATAAATCTATTTGAGTGTGTTAATGTCCCACATTAGTCAGAAAAATAATTACAAATATTTGGTCATAATTATCTACAAAACTAACAGGAATCTGTGTTTGAACTGATTTTACTTTTGTGCATTTCCTAATTCACATCTAAAGTCTAAAGTGTTCTTAAAGTAATGACCTAAAAAAAGCACAAAACCAATTTTTGGTTAATAGTTGTATTTCTCTTGTACTTCTTTAGATTTCTTCTTTCTTGTTCCTGCAGTGAATGAAACTTTAAAAAGTTCCATTTGGCAGTTGAACAACTTTGAGTTGTGGCTTGTTTCTGGTGTGGGTTTAAAAGTTTTTCAAGAATTACAACAGTGTGAAGTAGCATAACAGGAGTTAAGAGGAGTTAAATGACAAGTGGTGTTCAAATTCAACACAAAATGACATGTAAACTAACTCTAAGTTTCAATTCTTCAACTCCTCTGGACAGAAACCCCCATCTCAGATGTTCATCCATTATTTACTGACTGGAGCAGATCTGTGAAAATAATATGAAGCCATTTTACTACCGTTGAGTGACTTGGCAACAGGGGTAAGTCAAACAGGGCTTTAAACTTCAGGCCAATGACCCTCAAACTTACATAGAGATGAAGGAGTAAATGTATAAAACTGTGATATAGATTAAACTGGACCTATTTCTATGCAATAACCTAGCTTATTTTGTATTCAACATTTAACTGGTCAAATAATACTATGGTTCATACAGTATGTGCCTTAAAAAAAGTACAATTAATAAAAATATTTTCACCCCCCTGCAGAACCTCAGTGGACCCCCCAATGAGCTGAGGATCCACTGTTAGAGACCTCAGGTCTGGACTGTCTTACTGTCTAACTGTCTGAAGTTCATACTACGAGCATGCAGCAGAAAGAGGAAGCTATAAAAGCCTGTCACAAGATTTATCACCAGGCAAGTGGCCAGAAACAGGTTGGCAACAGGCTCTAGGGTTTTATTGTTTCTTGGGTGAACACTGTATTTCAGCAGTCCAACATGTACAGTATGCTGACCCAAATGCACGACTTTCACTAATTCCGAGATCTTCCAAACCAGGTGTGGGCTAACCTTTTGGCCAAACTGAGGTTTGAAATTTGACTGGTATGCCAGTTCAGCATTAGTTGGTTGTGGAATGCTGAGCAAAATAATCTAAATTTAAAAAAATACAAGAATAAAACCTAATCTTTCAAAGTTTATAGGTCATCTAGCAGCATCAACAGTCCATTCGTTGTAATGCATTGAACAGAAGGATTGGCATCAGTCCTTGTACCAGTGTCACTGTGCCTTATCTGGCCCCCAGGCCGTAGTTTGCCCAGGTCTGTTCTAAACTATAAAAACCAAGGTATTGAAACAAATGTGTACAATGTAAAACAAGGCAGGTGCTTGATGAATCACTGTTGTTGCTTGGCTTTCTCTGCCGTGTATTGATGGCAAGAAATGTTCCATAGTATCAGGAAATAAAAGTCAAGTGTTGATGTCTGTAAGGAACCTAATGCCCTTCCCAGGTGCAACCTAAAAACCTGTTAAAACATTTCAGTTCTATGGGTTCCTTTATCTCAGGTGCTACGTCAGATACTATAAACTAGCATATACGTATAAATCATTCAGAGATCTTAACCAAAGCACCAGGTGAATTTGACAGCACTTATCCGTGTTTGCAAGTCGTAGCCAGACCTGTTAGCTTATTGCAATGATGTGTGGCAGGGTTTTCTTTTATCATATTACTCCTTTCACTATGATTAATAGACACACCGAGGTCAGTGCCAATGTACACAGACCAAACACAACCAAAAAAAAACCTCCCCCGACAATAAAAGAAGCACCGTAGATAACAGATTACTAGGATGTGCCAGAGCTAATTTAAAATGAAAGCAAAACTATATTTGAGCACCTTTATGTTCCCATGTCATGACTGACCACTCTATGAGCAAACACCTGTGACAGGACATTCTTTACAATGTTGCTTTAGGCCAGAAAACTTCTCTGTACATGTATTGACTTAACACATATCGTCTGTTGTGCAACATGCTTTTCTGTCAGTCATTGTGTTTTTGCAACCGAGTATTACAATACGCTGGACTGGTTTGGAAAGGTTTTTTTCCCGCTTGGTTTATGAGCTTTCGGCGTAGCTTGGAAAAATATCCGAGGAGTCGGAAGTCATTTGATACCCACAGCGACCGCAGAAACGTTGACTAATGCTTGACAGGAGAGTTTAAATGAAGTGTGAATGTCATCATGAATAATCCACTGAAGAAGAGGAGAGAAAAGCTGCAGGTTATTCTTAGGTGGCCATTAGGGAGTTGAGTATTTCGTAGCATTGAGTCACGCTAGACAGAATTGCCTTGGCTTTGCAAAGTTTTCTAGTGGTTTTGTGGTGCTCGTTTCTCCGTTTCCTCCTCCGTTGTATTTTAGCCTAGGGAGTAGAAGTCAGACCATAAAGACATCGTGCTATACATCGCTGCTAGAATTATTACAATCGATTAGAAACTGTTTCCGATATTGGTTTGGTTTTCCCTGATAAATATTTGTGGGCATTAAATACTATCAGAGTACAAGTGTAAAACATAGGGCTGGTAAATGAATGCATTATTAGCATTTAATGTGAAGATTAACAGAACACCCTTAACATGTGGTCAAAATAACGTATGCCCAGTCCGTGGGTCATTTGGTACCAGGCTGCAGTGGGACATGGTGAAAAAAATGTACTTAATTAAATTAAATTAATTAAGAACACTTGATTTAATTTACATTAAATTAAATGTTCTTAATTTAAAGATAATCTTGCAGTATTTCAAAATAATATGTCATTCTGACTGATAATCTTGCAGTATTTCAAAATAATAAATACTGATAATTACTGATAGTAACAGAATACAGTCTATAAGAAGTTTTATTTTGAAAATTTCAGCTTCCTTCAATGATTGGCACATTGCTACTGTTCCACTGTAACAGCCCATACCAGCCGACCAGTACTTGGCACAAAAAAGGCTGGGAACCACTGCTCTAATACACATGTTGATATTGGAAGGCAAAGTGGGAATAAGTTTTTGTTTCACAAAGCACCTTGAGCTGAAAATACCACCTTGTGTTTGTGAGGCCTCCACTTCAGGTTAGACACTGAGCTTGTGTTAGACCAGCCTTAACAAGTGCAGGGCAACAAGTCAGTCTACGGCTGATTGTTGGTGAAAACAGTGGTGCTAAAGTTTTGAACACAACCCGCGAAACGTTCTACAAGCCATGTCGTGTGCATCGTTTTCTTGACAGTTCCAAACAGGAGTGAAACACTGAGCTCTAGCTGCTGCTGTCTTTCTGTTCAGTCAAAGTAAAGATCTGTTTCTGGTCATTTTTAGGAATGTTTATTTGCTTGATTAATGATACTTAATTTTGATCAAATATGAACATGATTAATTACGATTACTCCACAGTTACCCTTTGATTTTTGTCGATTGACTGTGTATTCCTCCTGTTTTATTTTTTCCACATGGATATAAAAGAACAACCATGGTACACTAACAGGCTAATGTTTGGAAACAGTCACATAGCTGCCCTGCTCAGTAAGCAGGAAGTTAGGTGAGTCATCCCCTCTGTGTGGCAGAGAAACATTTCACTCTGCCAACATTCCGTTATGTCTGTCATTGTTGGATATTCGCTACATTTACAGTCAGTTCTTGCATGTTTGTAACCTAGCGGCACTCCCTTTTGATACACAAAATACAAACTTATTTGAACTTAATAATGTGACTGGACTTACCGATTTACCACAAGGGCATCGTATCGGGTTTAAAACAGCTTTGGACAGTTTTTCTGTTTGGGAAAGGCCCAGTTTCGTCATGCTGCAAGTCAGGTTGTGTATGGTTTCCACAACTTTGTCCCGCAAAGAAAGACTGTTGTCTGACACTTGGCCCTTAGAGAACCACAAAAAAGAGGGTTATAACAGTCAACATTTGGCCAAAGGTTGACACTAGGACTGGGAGATAAAACAATTATGTCAGTCATTATTGTAATATAATTTTATTCAGTGGCAACCTCATAGCCCTTTTTTTTTTTAATCCAAATTTAGATTTTCACATCAGATACTTGCTTTGAAACATGTTTTTGTTTTGCCATATCTCAAGGATAAAGAATGATGTCATCAAAACAAGCAAACATTTCACTTACCCTGATGTCTGGTGTGCAGTTGGGAAACTTGTGTTTCAGATTGGAGCAGTTTTTGCTCAGTGAGGCTGTGATATTTTCCCACTTGAATGAATAAATAGGACAGTGACCGAGGTTAATGTGAGTAAACATGAATGAGACAGCAGAACAGGCACACAGAAAACACCAGCACTGGACTTTTTTGCTTATTTGTACGAATACCTAAGAAAAGCCCAAGTATATATTATATATATATTTTATATATATATATAATATGATGTACGTGTATAATAATACATCAGTTTTCCATTATGGTGCCTTTAATTGCTTCAACTTGAACCTGTATGACCTGGCATCAAAATAGTGCATTCATCCTCAACAGCAACCGTGTGATGCTTTCATGTCAACAAAGACTTGGTTCTTTGAGGAACCTTTCCAGCATCTTGCTACAATTACACCACAAGGAACTATGGCAGAGGTAAAAGTAGTTAATGAAGTATGATTGTTTAATCTTATTATATTAAATATCTAAATGTAGTACAGTTTAACATCTAATATTTTTAGTCATTTCTTGCAGCTGTATCTCCACAGTGTCCACTGCTTTAAATTGTTGTTTATTTCTCATCACAGGAAGTTATGACTGAGCCTTTAGGAATGGAGTGACATGATGAAGGCATTCAGAACCGTTAGCTCACCGTGTCGTTAAGGTGAGTCTGCACAATGACCATGTTACTTTTCACGTCTTCAGCGGGCCATTTTCCTTCGCAGGACAGTGTTTGAGGTAGAAGCAGAAGAACGAGGAGACTGATGCAGAGAAGAGGCTGAGGGTTGATGGAAAAGAGAAGATTAAGACATGTTTATCTTGGTTGGTTCAACCTTGTTACTGAGCCCTACATAGGAAGTATCTAAAATTATCCATTGTCTGTCTTTTTCATTTGGCTTATAGAGTCTGACAAGGTTACCAAATTGCAGTCTAAACAGACATGTTCCCAAGTAATACATTGCACTAAGTTTAAAAAATGCATTTCTACAAAGTAACATCTGAGTGGTTATTGTTATCCAGTTATTTACAAATATCCACAGGGTATATATATATATATATATATATATATATATAGAGAGAGAGAGAGAGAGAGGGTATATATCCAGGCAGGAATATTACCTGGGAAAACATGACCCACTTGTGGTACATGACCCACGGTTTGGGATGCAGGTCAAATATAGCAAATATGTATTTTGCTCTATTTATTGTTTTCAAAGTCACTTCAGTACATCATAGAGATGACGTTAAAATGATGAAGTCCATCAATAACCAAAACGTTTTGTTTATTTGTTTGTTTGTTTGTTTCTTCCCAGTGTATCCATGTCACCCCCATCATTTCTAGACTGGTGGAGAAAATTACCACATTTATAAACCAAAATAAATCAGTGGTCAAGTACTAATATTAAATAAAGGATTCAGTCTCCTATAGACCTATTTCATTCATAAAGTTTCAAAAGTGAATAAATGAACTTGTCTACATCTAAACACGTGAAGCTCTGTCATTCAGGAGTGAAGTTACACAGTTTTGTATATTTCTTGACTGTAAATGGAACCGGGAACTAAATCGATTCCTGTAAAACCACAATTAGTTCTCGTAAATCCTAATTTCAGTTTCCTTCTGAGGTGGCACAAAGGAAGTTAATCACTTGGAATTCCCCGCTTGGGAAAGCTATTAGAGCACAAGTTTCAGTAAAAGCAGCCAGTCGCCCGGCGGAGACGACAGAGGACAGATGCGCCTGTGTTCGTCTGTTCGACTACTAGTAAGTTTTCACAGACACACACACACACACTCACACCACAGTCTGTAGGCTTTAACCTAATCTTAATTCAGTGCGTCACTACTAGAGGCCGTTAAAGTTGCAGCGCAGCTCATGTTTAAATGTCTACTCACCATTGGTCATTCTTCATTCATGTTCTCCGCGAATACATCTGGACAAGGACACACACACACACACGTGGGTCTGGATCGTGTCATTGGTCGTCTCTGATGATTAAGACGCAGTCTCAGAGTCTTGGTGCCGTTTTTTTTTTGTAAGCGCAAGGATTTCTCTCATGCACGTCCTGCGTAAGTCAGTTGTCTCACATCGCAGCGTGATTTTACTTCCGTCCTCAGCAGCGGGGGTTTCACTTTACTCTCTCTAAGAAGCGTATTAAACAGCCGAAGTCCACTTCATTCGACACATTGTAGACCACGGGTAAACTATTAATGCCCATCTTGCAGGTGCAGGACGGACGATCAGGAACCCATATATTGCACACAGAAAAGCTCACATGCAGGGCCACACGTACAGCTGCTTCCAACTGTCAGTGTTAGGGATTGAAGGTGCACCGAGTAAGGTTACATTTTGTCATCTAAAATCCCATTGCCCCTAGCAGAAATATAATCAAAATAGTTGTGTTGATGCACTTGTGAGTGCAATCTATGAATTATTGTTTTAATGACCTTTGAATGAGCCCTTTTGTATTTACTACAAGTGGTTTACCCTGAAGGCAACAGTTGTAATGTAAACAGTTTCAGTTTGATTCCAGGGTTCCTGAAGCCTGATGTGTTTCAATCATTGGCTGTATATAAGAACTGGACAGAGACACCTGGACTGAGCTGCTGGGAAATTACTGGAATTTCTTGACTTGGTAACAACAAGGTGTAGTAATGGTTTAATTCTGTTACTAGTTTTTCTGATTCTCCACATTTCTCTGTATGTGCTGTAGGTTTAGACCAAAAACATACCGTGTTGTATTAATTTGCCTTTGGTTATGCACTTTTGCAGTATCTGAAAAGGATTGGTGTTAGAAGAAGAATGATAATGAATGTTGATTCACTTTCCTCTGACGTAAAAGACCGTTGAAAAAAGGGACTACTTTTATGTAAGTGTTAAATATTACAAAACACTCTTTTTACACGTTGGTGATGTCGGTTTTTGCAAATCAGGATGATTTGCAAAAATTTGAGGATGAAGTTGACAAAAAAAAAGCAGTCGTTAAGTCCTAAGCAGTTGTTAGTGGCATCTGTTTTGTCCATTAGCAGTGCTTCGTCACTGACATCTGTTAATGTCAACGTAACGTTGACATGGCATGTGGCCGTATACTGCAGTCAAGAAAGATCAGGCTGTTTCCTTGATACCTTAAAGCTCATATGATTGCTTGTATATTTTGTAAAGGAAACAGTGAGGAAACAGATATTTAAAGTTAAATTAAGTTTAATTTTTTTCTAAGACTTTTATATTCTCCCATTGAAAGGTTTAACAATAATCTATTCATTGGTATTAGTCGACAGATTCCAAATTTATGTGTTGGTTCTGGAGAGACGAAAACAATAGTATATATTGACAGATGTAACTTGTTTTATTTGTACTTTTAAAAATATAAGTATTTATTTAAACCCTACAGACTGCACCTTTAATGGGTGTCTGAAAACTCCTATATCTGTGGTTAAAAGTAGTATGGATGGCAGCGGAATCAGAATATTATTTAACAATGTTTTCTACACTATAGATCAAAATTATATCACTGAGCAACAAAAAATACAGTATAGTAAGTGCTCTAGTAAAGTTGTTTAAATTTTAAATATTAAATGTGCAAACACATATATAGAACTAGGTGCTTTTTAAATCATTAAATCTATTTTTTATATACTTTTTTATTTTTGCGGGAATTTAGAGAGTCTCTTACTTGGAAAAAAGACAAAAACGTTTTGTCAGGGCGAGAGAGACGGCTCCACACACGCTGCATGCGTATTACTTCACCTATTAAAGAGTGTATAGTGCCTCAATAATGACAACACACATTGTCTCCTGTATTTTTAATACAGTGTAATATGATTTTTTGGAATACTGAAGTTTGTACTAGATGTAATATTACCTCGCTTCCCTTGAGCAAAGTAGAGTGCTACTAAATAAGTTTACCTCACGAGTTAAACCACAATACAATACAGATTTTTAACAGGAATTATTTGATTATGATTTTTCAAAAAAATACAAATGTTGTTTGTAAAAATTCTACTGTACTACTGTAGTGTAAGTAACATGGTATCACAGAATGACATGCAACGACTTGATTACATGCCCATTGTTAAGGTTTTAGATTTTGAATTGTTATTTAAAGTCACTTTAAGTCATTTAAGTCATTTTAAGTTACTGCAGCCACACGGTCCTTTGAGGAACAATTTGGACATGCCTGGTGTACAGTAAAGGTCAATAAATGTCAATAGGTGTGTGTGTGTGTGTGTGTGTGTGTAAGCGTACAAGTCCTTATGAATAGGTGCTTATAAATAAAATGTATTATTAGTATTGTTTTTACTGTCATCCAACGATAAACGCATACCATGTTTATGACAGGATCAGGCTTACACACATCTGACTGATATATCACCAAGGTTTGACAGTGAAGTGGCCCATTGCAGCTGTCCAATCAGCAATGGAAGAATTGCAATTTTAGTTAACAGTATTATAAAAAAAAGTAATCATTCATTCATTCATTCCAAAAGAAAGTCACGCCCTGAACTGTGAAATAAATGGTGTTGATAATTAATTGTAATTCAGTTATTTTATGTATTTTCCATGAATTTGTATGGCAACATGCATTTAAAAATAATACTGTATTGTTCCTACAAACTACAGACTGTTATTGTATTTGAAAAGTTCTGGCCTTGGGCTGACACCCATAATGCGTAATTTGTGCAAAGAAAAGAAATTGAGTAGAATGAGTATTGTGTGTGTGTGTGTGTGTGTTCATGATACGGCAGTAATTAAAGACATTTATCAGATCATGACAGGAAGCATTGCATCGTGGGACTCAGAACGTGGCCATTGTTACCATGACATCAGCCGTCAAACACAACTGTGATATTTTATAGCAAGATGTTTTTTCTACCACACTGTGATTCACATAAAAACTATGTGTGGGTGTATTGCAGATATCAAATGAGGGCCTATTGAGCTTTTTAACTGACATTTCACTTGTCGCTTTTCTTTTGTTCTGAAGAGTTTTTGATGTTGATGCCTCGAGGACAGAATCTGATGAGTTATGGTATTGTTGTTGCCAATAGAGTGCCTGGAATCTCTTTTTAAAATCTTTTTTCTATTTTGATACACTCACTGTTGTTTACATTCTCAGTGCCTGTCAAACTGAGGATGGTTACTGTAGATGCAAAATAAAATAATCAAAACTCCAAATAATCCAGTGGTGGGAATCACGTAGAGTGTTTTTTTTGTTTGTTTTTTTTTGTAAATTTAGCATAAAGTAACTTTATACTTCTTTAAAACACTTTCTGTATAAAATTAGCCAAATGTTCAGGACACATGTAAGATTTGCAAGAACAGAAAAACTAAAAAAAAAAAAAAACAAGCAACAAACTTTAAAATATAAAATCTTCTTCAAAACACCTCAAAACCAAATGTGTGTTTCATTATTTGATTAGCATTACATTTTCAAATATGACATATTGAAGCTCTTGAAATCATTTTCAAATATGACATATTGAAGCTCTGTTATGAATTTGTTTATTAAGATTTGAGTTATTGAAATCACCAAAATATGAGTTTATTTATCTTAATTCATTATCTTTATGTTTAAGGGTGAGCCACGTGTTGGCGTTTGATGGTAACATGATTTTCACTGATAGGAAACAAAAGGTTGCAGGTAATACACACACACACGAAGGCATAAACACATACACACAATGCTCATGAATTCTTAGCAGTACATATGGTGTTCAGGACAGCTCTGAGTGTTGGCCTTTTCTAAATCAAGACAATGGGTGATCCCACAACTGTTTCAATTTGTTTGAGACAATCAATGAAAAGCAGGCTGAACACAGCCTACAGGCGTCCGGCCAGATGTAATGTGTCTCCATCATTTCATGGCAGTACAAAAGTCTTAAAAAGTTTTAATGAAACACAGTGACCTGTAGAGATGTGGTGTTTTGTTGTGTGTCATACCATCATCTGCACAGCAGATTTTATTGTTGCATGAAAAAGGGACGCAGTGTGAAGATCTTTCCCAATAAACAATAGACCCAATAGGTGGCAGTAATGCAATTAAGAGAACGCAGAGCTGCAATGTAAACCCAAAAGAGACAAAGGCTCAGTTAGTGCTTTATCTCAGCTGAGCTGTGGAGAGGACTGATAATTGTAAGTAACAGTAAAGGCTCTTCATAAAAACGTTTGTGTGTCCCTAAAAGTTCAGGCTGTTTTAAAGTGTTTCATTTAGTTTTCTTCCTATAGTAAGGCATTTTATTTTGTTTTGTCACAATTATGCAGTGATTTAATCACCATATGGTATTGACTGGTTGTTCAGTTGTTTGTTTGTTGTTTTTTCATATACAATCTTTAGTCAAATCTAAACCTCGCCTAAAATATTGCATCAATTCATGACCATTATTTTATCATAACTTTTGACTTTTTTAACTGCAATTGCAAATAATGTCTCTTGTTTTGTCCTTCTTTAATCCTGTGTTTTTTTGTTTTTTTTTTAAATTCAATGAAGATGCTTAGTTTATATTAGTTATTCAGTCATCTTTGTCTTATAATTATTCATTGTTAAAAAAACCCAATAAACATGTCAAAGAATAGAGACGTAGAACATAAGAAGACAAATTAATAGTAGTCAACATGTTCTTTTTTCTCAATGTAGCTGTCACCCACATGATCCAACAGCATTTCACAGTGACAGAGAGCCATGGGGGTGTGACATCCTGGAACAAATCGTTGCCTAATATTAAGTGGAAACTACTTCTTGAGACCATTTCCCATAAATGAGACTATTTCCTATAAATCATGTTGCAACACATTTGTTCTTTATTAGGAAGGTTTCGCCAAAAGTATATTAAATGACAATAAATAGAACTCACACAACTATCAATACCTCATTTTGTCATTCTTTTTTTTTTCTTTTCTCTGTACGTATGGCAGATATTAGGCATGTTTTATGTTGAATGAACAATGGGATTTTATTTGTTTTATTATTTCTAGAAATTTGCTCATTTTTAATATTTTTTTGTATCCGTCTGAGGGAAGGTTTTAGGTTAATGTTTATTATAGTATAACATACAGTATAGTATGCTCTTAGTTTAACATGCTCTGCTACTGCATAATAGCTGAAGAAATATCAGAAGCCATGATAGCAACAACAACTCTTGATAGCTATTTTATGGCCTGCTATTCAGTAAATGTATTAATACTTCTCTTTACATGACAGCAAAAACAAAAACAAAGAAGAATGTCTCTGCTTTAAAATAGCAGATCTGTGTTTGTGGTTTGATCATTTTATTTTCATTTGGCAACAATTTTTTTGCATTTGTACCAAATTATTTTTATTTTTTGTTGCATTTTTAACACCCAGGCTTAACAAAGGACGCTTGGTTTTTATAAAGGTCGCCCCTGGTGTATGTGTTAAATTATTAACACATATAATTGTATAATATATTCATGTACTTTTTTGATAATAATTGACAAATAAAAACAAGCAACTCTTTATTGTAGTGTCTTTTTGTCTAACCATTTATGATGAATTCTGATGCTATGTGCTTATATACCTTATATGCTGTCCAGTTTTCTAAATAAAAAAATAATTGATAAATGGAAATACACATTACTGTTCACAATTGTTTTCACCAATGCCACAGTATATTTTACTTAAAGCCACTTGAGAATTGTTTACAATAAAATGTATTTATTTATTTATTATTATAGTTTTCATTCATCATTTTTTAATAAAGCAGTTACTATTATTAGGTTAACATAAACAAGTTTCTCTACTTTGGTAGTTGTTGGTGGTCACATGTCTCATTTTAATAACAAAAACAACTGCGACTATACTAAGTTTTGCCAAAAAAAATATAGGTGAAGGAAATCGTTACTTTTGTATTAATCATGTCTTTTTATCACGCGGCTTGGTTGTAAGTAGTATTAGCATCTTTGGCACCTCCTTGTGGTCATTTTTCTCACATACGTGTCCTTTAATATACTGTATCTGTAAAAGTGACCCAACAGCGACAGTCAGTGGCAAATAGGCTGTATCATCAGTAAGATTACTCTATGATATAGAGTGCTGGATAACTGGAGTTTTGGTGTCAGCTCTCTTTTTCCTAAATGTGGAAAGCCTTGTTTATAAAAGATTTTTTTTAAATTTATTTTTTAGTTTTAAAAAGCTAAACAATACAATACCTGGGGTTATATTGTACCAACAAACTAAGATATTTTTCTGGTTTGTGCTGATGTCATAACTCATTGATGTTCACCCATTTTATGAACCCATTAGATGTTATTTTAAGCTTTGCTTGTCGATGACCAACAAACCTGTGGCTATTACACTCGGTTTAAAAAGGCCATAAGATTGTCTGAAGGCCTTGTGTTAAATCACTGCATGTGGTGAGAACCTATTATGCAGCCATAATGTCTAGCTCTGATACACCACTGTTAATTTGAACATAAAGCATTTTTGATCCAGTTTTCCAGCCATCATGGCGTTTTCTCTCACACTCACATTAATCTCGCCTGGCTGAAAATCAGTTTATCCCCCGTGCTGCCCACATTCAAGCTTGCAGCAACAGCTCCACTGATTTGTTGCCTTATTTCTTTCTTTAGAAATACAGACACTTGGCTGCAGAATTACATTTTTATCCCGCAACAGTCCCAGCTTTTTCAGTGACAATATTTAATTAGCACCACAGCTGGGAAACCTCTCTGATGCTGCACTAGACGTCCTGCCCTCCCCCCAACCGCCACTTTCTAATCCTACCAACTCCACCGACTGCCTGGAATTGTTTTAAGACCTTTCGTACCATATACCAGCTGTGATTTTTCTCTCAGGGTGTATTGTTTATTTGCAGTTTTCTCACCCACACTCATTTCAACCAGAAGTACAGGGCTGTCCAATCTAAAGCAACTTAGCAGAAATGCGGACCACATAGCTAGAGGTTCTCCATCCACAGCTGACCTTCTTGTTTTCTTTACAGACACTGTACTCAGGCAAATCTAAAGCTCTGATGGCATCGTGTCCGAAACCATACTGTCTTTTGACTTTTCAGCATTCACACTCACTCAGATGACCCTGGAATCACTCTCATTATCTATATGTTACACCTTCTCCATACCTTCTCTGAAGGGGCATTGAGGAAACTCACCTTCTCAGCTCCTGAGTGCTCCACCAACCTTTCTGGCTAAAATATTACAAATGCTCATGCAGTACCAGCTCCAGTATAGCCAGTATTTGTCATACTTTTAGGCCAAAAAAAAAAAAAAAAAAGAGCAAATATTACCCTGTAACAGAAAAAAACAAAAACATTTTCATATCAGTAATTGACCCCAATATATTTTTTTCTGAATATTAGAATAGTAGAGTGGTTTTCTTTTCATGAAAATAATAAAGGGGTTTCTGTCTGAATCATTTAAAATTTCTGAATTGTCACAGAAAAAAAATCAGAAAAGGAAATGCTGAATGGATAAAAATTAAAACAAACAAAAACCAAAACAAAAAACCCTCACCTTAACTCTAAGGTAAGTACACGCTGGACAAGAAGACAAACACATGTACATTTTAATTAAAAAACCCCAGTGGTATGCATGGTTTGTATTTTACATTTACTTTGTTTTCTGAAGGAAACACATGTATATTTATTACTGAACATTTACATTTGCAGAAAAATAATTTTTCACAGATATTTCTGATTCTGAGAAATCCAGGTCCTGTGGAAACCAGATGTGATGAGAAGGAGACCATTGGAGAGAAAGAAGAGGGAGGGCGAGAGAGAGAGAGAGATAAATGGAGAATAAGAGGCTAAAAAGAAGATGGAGTGCAGATCAGGTGATATTATCATCATTAAACCCCTTGGGGATCTTGTTGCTATGGACTGTACGTGTTTGTATGGGGGGTTACAGCAGCTAGGGTGAAGGTGGAGGAGGTGATGATGGTGAAGAAATTCACTCCTGGTAGAGACAGTGTGAAATGTAAGCAGGGTGTGGTTTTCTTTACTGTCTGTCTGTATGCACCGCTCTGTAGCCTTTCTGGGGAATAAATCACTATTTTGAATAATTATCTAGAAACAACAAAGTTTGCAGGAGACCCAGTATTATCTAGGTCTCCTGCAAACTGATTGAATATTTACAATAATTCATTAAATAACAAACATGATTCAATCCAGTCTAAAATTAACATATGTTAAAAAATATTAAAAAATACGATTGGTTCTCGATTGAAAACCAAGGCTAGAGACAAAGAGGGAAATCAAACATCACCCTGTGTGATTTAATTGTTCTGTGTATTTGGGTCAGAAATAGTGAAAACTCTGTATTCATGTGTGTATTATGTGTACTGGAGCCATTTCTCTGATTGTTGCCATTTTTTTTTATTCACCAGTAGCTCCAAGGAGGCAACGTGGAATAAAAAATTCTGAAATTATATAAGAATGTGGTAACAGATGTGCTTTACAACTTAAGAGGCCATTATTATATTTTTTTGGTTTTATTTTATTTTTTTAAATATCTGTTGTTTGCCTTGATTTTGTTTGTCTGCATTCTACGTGCATGCTCGACACAAACATTCCGCTGTGTGGCCCACCTGATTTAAATCCACTGTCAGGGTTTGACGTAAAATTCTGGATTACACGAAGATGTCAGTTTGTTTGTTTGTTTGTTTGTGTGTGTGTTACAAAACACACGGACGCCCGAGCCAAAAATAAAGACGTGATTAGTGCGCGCATGTGCACATACATGGGATACACGAGGCAACACCCCAATCCATTGTTACCAAAGGCCACCTGAGGATGGCGCTCCTCATCCTTGCATGAAGCGTTCAGAGCCGCCACAAATTGCGGCGCGCATGTGCGTGTGCACGCAGGAGATAGACCGAGCCGCTTGTCTGCCTCCTTTTCGATGTTGTGTTGCCTCCCTGTCGCTGCGGAGCTGTGCTGCTCTTCTCTCCATCTCCTCTTTCCTTCCTTTCTTTCTCTTTCTTTGCCTTTCTACTCCTGTCTCCCCTCCTCCTCCTCCTCCTTTGTCTCACATCAACCTTCCTGCTCTCCTTGCATGCCTCGGTCCTGCACCTCTTGCTAAGCATCCCGGCAAATGGTTGCTCCATCCCTGGTAACTCTGGACGCAGGACACAGCCAGAAAGCGCACGGCTCTGTTTCCATCTAAACTGAGCACACTGCGGATTGACTTGCGGGGGAGGCGGAGCAGGTAGAGGAGGAGAAGCCGGTCTCTGACTGTGGACAAGATCCTATTTCGGTAAGTCATCGCATTTTAATTCCCAGGGAGGACACCGAGGGGAAGGTGACAGGTCTGTCCTGAGCCAGGTGTCATTCATCAGAGTGATTGCTGAGATGCTGGTTATTTGCAAAGTGTAAAAACGATGCCCTGCTTTTGTTAACATGCGTGTTGTGCAGATTCTCTCAGGATTAAAAAAAAAAGCGCACAACATATTGTGACTCCAGGTGACTGCTGACCCCAATTTACCACTGGCTGTTTGTGCAAAAGTGTTGAAAAGGACAAAAGCACCATAAAAATACAACAAACCATTTGACCCTGTAATCATTTATCATCGAAAACTTTGTCAACTGGAAATGGTAGTTGTGTGCTGAAAACTGGTTCTGTACCTGAGGTTCATCAGTGTCAAATTCTGCTCATACCTGCTGATGCTCATCACAGGCTGTCCCTTCGTCGGTGTGGTTTTAGAGTATATGAGAGGTGATGCAAGGGAGGAGTATGAGGAAGACACCATACCTTCCTCACAGCACCACTCCATGCTATGATCAATAGACGTTTGCAGGAGGTGTACTGTGCACTGGCACTTTGTCAAGGGCAAACAATATATCCAGCAAATGATTTTGAGGTAAGAGGAGGAAGTGGGGGAGGAAGAGGTGAAGAAGGAGGAGGAGTAGAAGGGCTGTGCTGGGCTGGGCTGCCTGCTGGGGGTTCATGTTCAGTTGTGTGTCAGCACTTGGTTATAGGTGTATGATGGACAGTGGAGGTGTGTGGATGGGAAGGGTGAGAATGTGTGCTCAGCTGTATCCCATTGAAGCATTGTCTTTTGTTCTGCACTGCCCTCAAAAATGGGAAATACAAGTAGATATCTGCAGGTTAGGCAGTTTCAGGTAGTCATACATGTAACATGTCAATGCATTTCCCTGCAGTTTTCCGTTTAAAGTTGACCTCTGATACAAAATTGCTTTTTTGAAAATGATGATCCCCCCCCCCACTTATTTGTTCTGAACGCTAACTCCTAATAAACAGCCATTCATTCATTAAACATTAAGCATAAGCATATCCACTTTTTCTTCAGTCTGACAGTTGATATGATAGAATGACAGCAACATTCCATTTACTTTTGTGCTGCACATTAAAAAAAAAAAACTTCAATATGTGTTGAAAATTAAGCCGTTCTACAGAGGACTTCTCACCGTAGCGACTGACTGACTGTTGCTCACGCTCATCTCCTCGCCCCATTTCCTAAAGATTAGCTCTTTTTAAGCCATGTGAATGTCTCCACTGTTCATAAAATGCCTTGTCCTTCAACGGGGACACAGATTAAGCTAATTCACACAGCAGCCCAGGCCTCAGGCTCTAGTCAGTTTGCTGCGCCGGCAGAACAGAACTGTCTTTATACTGCATGTGGTAGTAGAGAGAGAGAGAGAGAGAGAGAGAGAGAGAGAGAGAGAGGGTGTGTGTGAGAGCTAAGGAGGAAAGCTAGCCGACGGTGCTTATCGATCGGATGGAGGGGGCGCTGGCAGGCTTCCATGGGATGGAGTGCTGACGACAGTCCAAAGAGTTGCTGGGATGAGCTGGGCCGGCACTTGGCTCATGGAGCAGTGATAATGAAATGGGAGAGACTTAAGAGTTATAGTTACCCTCCCAGTAACGGTGTGGGGCTGGGAAGATGGGGAAAAATGATTGTCACTGTCATAAATTACATTGTATTTATTTCCAGAGAGTGACACCCAATTGAATTCTGATAGTAAATTTAGGAGCCACATGTAAATCAATTCCCATTTATGGAGACGTAAGGTAAATCACTGATACATGCTCTGCAGTAATACGGAATGAACACATTTCTTAAAGAGACTGCATGTATTTAAGGAAAGGAATATTTAAAGGTGCTAATTGAAAAATCTACAGTTAAACCAATTAGTTATATTAATAAGTCTTAGTAAATATGCCGTACTGGATTTTTCTTAGTTGTGCTGTTCTGTCCTTCAAGTAATGGATATTTTGGATAAAAATAATTTTGACAAATAAACACAGCAGGAGCAGGTATTATCAAAAAAAAAAAAAAAAAAAGAGAGGTTAATTGGATTAGCCTACCAGAACCAAACTAAGAATAGAAGTCGTTATTGTCATTGTAACATGGGGGTACAATGAAATTGAGAACACAAGTTCGAGTTTTACATTTAGTCTCTCAATTAAGTCTTTATTTTTTGTGAGAATATAATTGAGGGATTGTTTGGTAAAATGCAGTGTAATTTAATGTTTAGGTCCAAAGTTTCATATAGCTACAAGATCATCTCTGTGTTATATTTTGCCAGCCATAATGTCCCCAGTGCAGGTCAATGCTGACAAACCTGTTTTAACTGAGGGGAGAAGTAAATTTACTTCAAACATTAGAGGTGCATTTTGACATCTGGGCATCCTAATGGACCTGGGCTTTTAATTGCATACACAACAGCTTATAGGGAGGGTGAGGAGCTATATGGTCTCTGGATTACACACATAAGGTACTGTAAAAATACTGTTTTTAAAATAGCCTTCTGCAGACTGTGTACAGCGCACGGCCATTTATACAACATTTCAGATAAAAAAAACGCTCTGATAGATAACAGTTTTATATTCAAGTTTAAACTTTCCTATATACCTGATACAGCATAAAACAAAAAATAAATACAGACTAGTACGTTTTCATTTCATAATCAAATGTTGTTGAAAAACATTAGATTGTGTATTCTTCGTGTATCATCAAATATCTGTGGAAAACATCAAAATGACTTTTCTCCAGAGAAGTGACGAGCCTTGGTTGCAAATATGGCACCTTCTTGAGGTGTGACGTAAGCCCAGAGGCGACATCGGATGCTGCTCATTTGTCACAATGAAGTAAACAAAGACTCATCTTGATGTTTTCCTAGCCAGACAATTTAGCAAATCCTTTTCTCGCACCTTAAAAATTAGAAGTATTAGAAGGGAGCCCTTGACTCGGCCCATTCCTACGGTGCAATATAACTCGATTTTTGTGATTGTCCGTGAGTCGGAACTCGTATTCTTAAAAGTACGTTACTCACCTACACTAACACAGTGGTAACATCATAATCTAGGTCCGCAATTATGATGTTACCATCATAAGCATAATGAATGCCGCACAATCCAATGTATGGCGTACAACCGGCGAATGTAAACCAAGCCCTCTTCTGTGTGTAACGCTGTGTGAGACTTATTCGTCTACTCTGCTCGCTAACTAGTTACCCCTGCGAACTAGTTAGTGAGCAGTGTGTACAAACCAGTGTTTGCACACACTGGTGTCATTCTACTACCTGCCTATGGTCTTAATGCAGTGTGAGTGGGCCTCAGGCCGCAGACGTTTGATCCATACTCAGCTGACTGATTTAACTGCATATTCATAGACACACGGCACGTGTCGATTGACAGTCTCTGTGTGCACATCAATCAGGGGTCCTGATGCTCACGGTGGTGACAGGACGCTTATGATCTTGTTTAATGATACAACAAAAATACACTGATGTGACACTGCTAATGGACAATTTCACAATATCCCCCATTGCAGTGGAATTGTTACAAGATTGCCGACATGATGCACACCATTAAGTCTCTAATATCATCCTTCTTACCCTCAAGGGGGCCGTGCAGTACACCCAACATGGCTGTCTTATTATCCTTGGAGGGTTACATCTCCCTTATGTTGGTGCTTTTGAGTCAATCATGACATTATCACATGTTTCTCAGAAGAAAACTTGGTTTTAAAGAACCTATCATGGCTGCCAGTCACTGTCACTTAGTATTAGCACAGACTTACGGCAAAGGAGCTAATTATTGGAATTAAAATCAAATTCAAATACAATAGTTCGTCAAAAAGTTCCTAGACAAGAGTAATATAAAAAGGTGTCAAAAAATAAGTCACAAAATAACTTGCTGATAAAATACTGTGCAACATTCGGTGGGATGAGTCAAATGAGATTTGTGCAGATATTCTAGCAAGTACAGGACCTCCAGATTCGATGGTCTTCTGACTCAGCGCTGGTCTTTTGGTCACTAAAGATTTAGTTAAAATATGAATTATGCCTGGTTGTTGTTCAGGCCAGTTAACAGCATTAGTCACACTGTCACTTTGGCCTCATGGAGATAGTTCTGGCTGAGTTTTACTGCTGTTTATTGTTTGAAGAAAAAAAAAAAAACAATGACCAAGAACTCCTTGTTCTGTGCTTGCACTTTCTGCACAAGAACATTATTCCACTTCAGTGCTTCTTTATGGAAATGTTGTTTTTGGGCTCCGAGGCAGCCTTACCTTTAAAATACAAGGAATATCTGAAATGGTAAAATATGAATAGATGTACATTTGGTTAACATTATTACCAGTCGATTCATAAATAATATCCTTAGCAAGTCCAGTCATGCTTAAATGTATCTTTTATCTTTAAGCCATAGTACAGTTTTCTAAGTCTTTAATGCTTTTGTTCTAAACACATACAGTATACGTAGTACTTTTATTAGTATGACTCCTTCTCTGGACACAAGTCCATTTGATTTATGGACACTTCTGAAGACTTCATCTTGACGTGGCATGTTCACATCCAGCTCCTCATTGTGATGCTTCAAAGAGCAAAAGGTCTTCATTCAAGGCCCCATTTATCTCACTGTAATGTCCTTGAGCGGGCCACGAACCCATCGCAGTGCAGAGCACGCAGGCTCGTCTCATACTCTTTGACCTCTTTGTAGAGTAAGAGAAGTCAAGATGATAGATCTTCTTTTCAAAGTGTCAAACAAGTGGACAATGTGGGATTAATACTTGAAATGCAACAAAAGGCTTCAGGGCTGCGGATACTAAAGCTGCTGTGATGACCTTTTTTCATGCTCCACAGCCCTGTAATTGTAGCCTCACCATCTGCTGACCTTCATATAAATGCCCACAGATTATTAGCCACTTCTAGGCCATATATGATACACTGCTCCATGAGACTGATAAGATTATAAATCGACAACGTCACTTTCACCTCTTCTTAATTATG